CCCTGGTATGAGGATTCCAGTTAGGAAGCAGTTGTAATGTCACAGAGAGCAGTGTGGAAGCTGTGGTTATGAACATAGGAGGAAGAGTTAACCAAGGACACTGGCAGCCGAGTTTCTTGGGTACACCAGCTCGTTAACATTTCTTGAGATCCTTGACTTATTGTATAATATGTAATATTGTGTATTATTCAGGGTGATAAAAGGATTAAATAGAGGTCACGGTTCCTAGCACAACAAACTTAAATATTAGTTTTCAAATGTGTTATTAGACTATGAAGTATTCTTAGTCCCCATTAGCTTATAAATTCCCATTCACAGGTACTTGAATGGCACAAGAGGATGACACTAGTGTGTGTTTATCTTGTCTTCATTTGGATTATTGGTATCAGATGAGTTCTAGTATAGCTAAGTGTAATTACAACAAGCTCACTCACATCAATAGCAAGACTTTCTAAGTGATAGAGGCTTTGTGAAAAGACTTTTTCATATTTGAAGTGTTACCTTCTTTCTAAGCATCTCAACATTATGATGTGAAATAGGTCAGTTAAATGCATAAGTTTGTGCTATTGGGGCATAGCTTATATTTCAGGTAAACAGGGGTGTTCAACCCTTTGACATTATGACACGGTATCATCTGCAAATACATTGGACATCCTGCAGCTTGAGGGTCACAAGTTGGATATGTCTGATTTAACTTTTTTCTGTAGCTGAAAACATTTAAACCTTTTAAAAAAATTTTGAAATTGCTATTATGTGTATAGTTTTAAAAATTCACCTACCATCTACCAATGTAGAAAGAAAATACCCACAAGCTATTAGCTGTAGGTTTGATATCTTGCCTTTAAGATTGAAATCTTTCTTCATTTTACTGCATTATTCTAATTTCTTCTGCTTGTTCATTGCCTTTTCAAGGGTCCTATGTTCTTCATGATCCTTTATGATGTTGTCCCCAGGTAAATTTCTTCCATTTGCCATAGGCTTTTCTTGTACTCTGGATCTCCCATTTTTATTGTCTACCAACTACTATTTCTGCATACTGATTAGGGGGGCTGCTCCCATCACCATTCAGTAGCTGAGCAAGGAATACGCAGCAAGGTATATGTCTGTGAATTCTGATTACCTGTGTGCACAGACATCTTGTCTGAATATATGCCTGTGTGTATGCAGATGAGCAAACAAGATACAACCTATCCTGATTCGAGGGATTTTAGTTATGGTGATTAACTCTGTTTTTACTTCATGTGAGTTTCATACTCTTACAAAAATTTAAAAATTATTTCTCTAAAAATTCTGTTTTCAGTATCTTGGTGTTCTATTGGCCTTTATTTAGTCAGCAAAGAATATGCTCTTAGTGGGCCTTTGATTGGAAGAATGTATTTAATTCCCAGTGGCAATACTGTATTAATTGAGGGCTGATCATATTCCAGTTTCTTTTTTCAGTCCTGTTTGTTGATGACCATATCCATTTGTATTCCTCTCTGTAAACTGCACAGATAACTGGGTTTCACTGTTGCAAGGACAGTGGAGTGGGGAGATGATGTAGCATCATTTGAATGATTTTTGAACTCTGTTCCCTGCTTTTTAAACTTAGCACAAATAATTATAAATTATTTGAAGGTTTATTTTTCATCTTCAGGATTTTAAGTTATTTATAGTTAGGCATATTTGTAATTATTGGGCTTCCTTTTAAGCATATATTAAGTACACAAAACAATGAGTTTCATGATGACATTGTTCATACATATATTTTAGTCATATTTACTCATATTCTCTTTTCCCTCCCACCCTAGCCCCCTTCCTTTTCCCATGGCTCCATGGCTTTTTCTGAAATGTGGTTTAAAGATTAGATCACTAGCCCAGGGATCAGAGGGCTACATAGAAGCCCTTTGCTGCTTCACTAGGTTAAGCTATACTGAGGACACATTTTAATCTTTCTGAACCCCAGTAACTGAATATAGTGAAAGGACTTGCTCCTTCATGGGACAAAAATGATAATATGCAAGCATTCTCTAAAATATCCAGGATGAATGTGATGTTAATGATGGTAATAATGAATTTTTATGTGTTCTTTTTAAATGAAAAACAGCCTCCAACATGAATTGCAACAATCATTTCAAATAAATGTGTTTAGCAAACCAAATGTAGTAAACAAGGTTAGCAAACATTAAAACCCACTGAGAACCTTTGTTTACTGATTTGCAAAGCTGAGACATTTAATTTAGGACAATTCTGTGTATGTATAACTTGTAGTAATAAGGAAAATGTATGGAAATGAAATCCAGAACCCATCATTAAAGGATTATATAAAGAGAAGTCTAGAATATAGAGACGAGCAGGAAGTTTAATTCTATTTAGAACAGAACAAAATTGTGTAGTTTATAGAAAATAAAACTGAAAATATGTCTGTTTTTAGAGAACAAACCTATAGATTCTCTCTCAGTTTCATTGTATCCTGGACATAGTGGTGTTCTGTGAAATAAACTCATTTTCTATAGCAAAAACTAATTGATTGTATTTTCTCAGTTTATTATTCTCCAAATAAGGCAATAATATGTTCTTATGTTTGTATTGAAGGACATTGTATATTTGTTTCATTGAACAGTGTTTTGTATGTTATTTACCAATAGCTATACCTTTTGCCAATAAAGTGCTTCTTCATTCATACAGTGGAATTAAGCATTTCTAGTGGTGAGATTGTTAGCCATCCCCAACTCTTATAGTTTGTTAAATCATGACTGACGTATCGATCATTACTATTTTAGTTTCTTTAATGTTCTAAAATCTAGAATATCTTATCCATTTAAAATACTGCTTTGGAAACAAAAAGTTCTTTCAGGCGTGGTGGCACATACCTTTAATCTTAGCACTTGGAAAGCAGAGGAAGCAGATCTCCCAAGAGAGCTACACTAGCCTGGTCTACATAGCAAGTTCCAGGCCAACTGGGGCTACAGACAGACCCTGTCTCAAAAAGCCAAAAAAGGAAAAGCAAAACAAAAAATAAAAATATATAGTTTTGTTTCTGGTTAGCAAGTAAAATGAAATAGAAAGTATAAGGTAGTTCTGTGAAGAGGTCTAACTTAAGAATGCAAGTTACTATTTGTAAGAGCTAGCAATGAAAATAATTATATTCATGTGTGAATTGTATGTTAATTTCTTTAATTGATAGTTGTAGCTGTTTAAAATTCTGTGTGTTTTAAATTATAATAATCTATGCAGACATGAGTATGATGGTGCAAGCCAATAAACCCAGCACTTGGAAGGCAGGAGGAGGAGGAGGATTGCTATGAGTTTAAAGCCAGATTGGGCCATATAGTGAGTCCTTGTCTCAGAAACACCAAAAAGAAATTTAAAACTATACGTTGTTTTTATCATTCACTTGTCTATACTGCTTAGTATAGATATTACATGTGTAACATTTCCTTTTATGGTTTTGATAGTGAGATATCACTGAAAATGACTTGAAAAATAATTGCAGATCTTATTTTCCAAGTTAATCTAATTTATGCTCACACACTTT